CTAGTTTTATTTAAAGAAAATGATATATAAAAACCAGTGTATAGTTTAATAATCTGAAAGATCGCATCCAGATCCTCCAATATCCTCAAAATAATTTCCAAACAAACCAGATGAATTTTTAGATCCTTTATCTTGTTGTTGAGCTCACTTTCGTAAAAATCTTGTTTGTTCGTTTTGAAAAAAAAACAAACGTATGTTTGGATCTGTTATCGAACTCAAATTTTTCAACAAAATTTTGTTCTCCTAACAATATTCTATCATTGCCAATTCCCATTTTTGAATTTCGTAATTATAATGTCGATTCTCTTCTTTAATGGATGCAAGTAATTTTATACCTTATTCTTCATTTTGCCTTTTTAGTTGTGTTTTTTTTACCCTTATAGATCGTTGAGTAGAAGTATCATCAACATTGTCTTCGTTTATATTAAGAGAAAACGAAGACAATCCAAGGGATGTTGAATGCGTTGAGGTGTAGCCCTCTGATGATGAAGCTGGTTGTGACGATGCAATGTTAACACCGCTTTTTCCGCGGTAGGTTGCTCTTGTCGTATTAACGTCATCTCCAAATTTTTTGACATCTTTAATCATAGGCCAAACGTGCTCAAATTTGAATAATTTCTTGTAATTCTGGTCTTCAAATAATAGTATTTTGGCTCAAAACATCTACAAAATAAAGACAATGTAGCATTAACTTAACAAAAACTTAACATTTGGAAGCATACATTACGAGTAAAACTCATTCCTCAAATATACCACTCAAAAATGAATTTCAATATTGGAGGTCCATCTTATGTGTCTGATTCGAGTTCATCGTCATTGTCCAATGGAGAAAATGATAATGATTTTCATGATGAACAACAACAAGCTATTACTTACATATCTTCGAACAGAAACCTACTCATAGCTTAGTACGCTAATCAACATGTTAACCAACAGGCACATGGAGGCACCATTCATGGTCGTAGAACCATCAACCGTGATCGACAAATAGCAGATGTAAATCACTTGAATGACTACTTCGCTGAGAACCCACGTTTCGACGAACATGTGTTTCGTCGAAGATTTCGAATGTCTCAAGGTTTATTTGGTCAAATACTAACAGCGATGGAAGGTCATGACAACTATTTCGTGCAGAAATGAGTAGTGGCAGTGTTTCGGATGTTGACATACGGCGTGTCAGCAGATGCTGCTGATGAGTACATCAAAATAGGAGAATCCACCACTATTGAAAGTTTGAAGAGATTTTGTCATGCCGTTGTTGAAATATTCACTGACTAGTATCTAAGATCACCTACCGCGAACGATGTTGAGAGACAACTCCATGTTAATAAACAACGTGGTTTTCCAAGGATGTTGGACATTCTAGCTTATATGCATTGGAGATGGAAAAATTGTCCAATGGCATGGGCAGGACAATATACAGGTTGTAGTAGATCCCCAACTATTATCCTCGAAGCTGTAGTTGATTATGATCTTTGGATGTGGCATGCATATTTTGGACTTCTAGGTTCGAACAATGATATCAACATTTTGGGGAGATCTCATCTTTTCGCAAACCTCGCTCAAGGTATTGCTCTGCCGGCTGAATACTTCATTCAAGGAAAACAATATAACATGGGTTATTATCTAGTGTATACATAAAATGGTCTACCATTGTGCAAACAATTCATGAGCCACGTGGCCCAAAAAAAATTATTTGCAATGAAACAAGAAGCGTGTAAAAAAGATGTTGAACGTGCATTGGCATTCTACAATCGAAGTTTGCAATAATGAAAGGACGTACAAGGTTTTAGGAAAAACATGTATTATATGATATCATGACTGCATGTATAATCATGCATAATATGATTATCAAGGACGAACGTAATGTTGTGCACTATTTCAAGAATGGGCGGAAGCGACAAGATCAGAAGTTGAGTTGGTTGAAGATGAAAATCATCGTTTTCCAGAATTCATTGCTTGTCATAGACAAATCAAGGATAAAGAGATTCATGATCATCAAAAATATGTTTCAAATAAAAACTATCGCGAGTGTATGGATCGTTCAAGTAATAAAATTGATTTTAGAGTCCAAGTATCGTTCCCACAGAGATTTACTAGTTCGATTTTACCTATTCTGATCTTAACCGAAACGTGAAATATGGTTGAGTTTTGTAACTAAATTGTAGCTAAACTAAATAAAAGTAATAGTA